GCCCACCTATACACCCTCCTCCGGGCCCGGGGCGCGTCCCCCAGCTCCGCGCTGCGGCTGCCTGTGGATGTGGCAGGGCCTCGCCTGCTGGGTGGGGCTCTCCCGCCAGCCGCCGGCACCCTCGGCGCGGCCTCCCCGAGCTACGGCGAGGCTCAGAGCTGCGCCGTGGGTTGCCGGGGGTCGGGGTTGGTGCTGCCCGGCAGAGATCTGTGGAGAGGCCTCGGCTCCTTGGGCCGGGCAGCTGCCAGCGCTGCAGGCAAGCAGGAGGGGAGGCTCGTCGTGGGGCACGAGGTGGTGCCGTGCTGCAAAACCTCGTGACAACGTGTCTGGGCGCTCACTGGAGCTCCTGCCTCTTCGTTAAACCTCTCTGTTCATTTTCCGGGCCTGTAGTTTCCCAGGGAAGAGAAAAGGAGGCTGAGGGGAGACCTCATGACCTTCCACAGCTCCCTGGAAAGAGGGTGCAAGAACTGGGAATGAGTCTCTTTAACCAAGTAATAAGCAATAGGACAAGAGGGAATGGCCTCAAGCTGCATCAGGGCAGGGTCAGGCTGGCTCTGAGGAAGGATTTCTTTGCAGAAGGGGCTGTTGGGCGTTGGGATGGGCTGCCCAGGGCAGGGGCGGGGGGGGAGTCCCCATCCCTGGAAGGGTTGAAGAGTCGGGTTGACTCAGCACTGAGGGATCTGGTGGAGTTGGGAACAGTCAGGGTGAGGTTCATGGTTGGACTGGAGGAGCTTCAGGGTCTTTCCCAGCTGAGAACATTCTGTGATTTCCTTGAGAGAGCTGGTGGCAAGTGTGGGCACCTGCCCGCTGCGTTGCTTAGTCAGAGGTGGACCTCAGCTGAGGGGATTAATGGTCCAGAAAACTCAGGTATTGGTGTGCTGCGTCGTTCAGACCTGGTTGTCAAGCCTGTCTCTGGAGACTTTATCCCCAGATGGCTTGCCTGTAAAAAAAAATTTATATACAGAGTCTGAGGGATTTGGAGCTGCTGGCCTGTTCCCAGAGCAATTGGGGAGCATCGTCCAGCAATAAATAGGTACGAGAGACAAGTTTATATAAAGTGAAGAAGTGAGCGAAGCCTTCATGATAGGGGAGAACTAACCCAGCCAAGGCAGAGATGCAAAGGAGAGAGATGAAAGAGGAAAGAGAGAGGAGAACGCAAGAGACCTTGAAGACACCCGTGCATGGGCAGGGAAATCCAACACCCTTTCTCTTTTTAAACTGGAAAGAAGATGAGGGGAAAGTTCAGTAATATCACGTTGATCTTAAAAGCTGGTTTGAAGTCTGACCATTAATCTTGCCATTATATATAGAGCTTGACTCACTTTCTTTTAAATATAAGGACATGACAGGATAACTTGACTTCAACTAGAAGATTTGGCCTTCACATGTTGGAAGTTCATCTATCTCAATGGCTGGGTTGCTGATTAAGTGTTAGTTGGAATCTGTCTTGCTCTTGCCTTATGGCTAATGCAGACTTTCTCCAGTGAATATACGACAAAATAGGTTTTCCAGTGCCTCATTTAGTTTTCTCTTTTGCCATGCCTTTGCTGAAAAAGAGTCTTGGTATCTTCAGTTTGTTCCTTGCTTTCTTCTTTGGTTTAAAGCGACATATATAAAAATATATATACACACACCAGACTCAAAGTTCAACAGTAAAGGCAGTTCATTAGTAGCATACCCCTGCTGTTAAGGGAGTTTATTAAATGCATGAGGTGTGTTAGCAGAGGAATGCCAGGGAGGGAGAAGACAGTTGGAAGATTATTAGAAGTGTCTCACTTAAAAGAACTGTGACTTGGTTTATGTCCCCTTGCATCTTTAATGATTTGTTAAAATACAAAATTGCTGACCTTTTGCCACAGTGAGTTTGGGGCTAAAATGCTGCTTGATCTTATTGTTTCCTTGGTTTTCTTCTCTCTGCTGTGTGAGGGGATTTTTCTCTCCTTAGCGTACGAGATGATGCACAATAAAGAGGATTTCTGAGCTGGTTACCTCGTGTACTGAAGAACCTCAGGGGATTTTAAATGTCCTTTATTTTGTACAATGCAACCTTCATGTGTTGAGGCCCAAATCATACGTGAAAGGTCACTGACAAGGAGGAATACTAAATGGCTGCCCGTTTCACACTGAGATATAAGCAAGGCATTGGCATTTGGAGTGTCGTGTGGGTAGACACAGAGTAAGTTAGAGATCCTGCAATTTTTCCAGATCTTGTGGATCCCTGTCAGGGAAGCTTGGGGCAGAGAAACAGAAACTGCACTTGACAGCAGTTCCAGAAGGTGCTTTAGTAATTGCTGGTATCATCTCAGTAAATATTTGGTATATATTGGTATTTCTCTGAAACTAGGGAGTAGAAGCAAGGGCAAGTGTTTGTAAACTAACTTACTTTCTTCCTAGGGCCTTATTCCAGCCCAGAAACTTCCCTGTTCTCTCCTCTAAATTATACTGTGTTTAAATTGAGGTAGCTGATGAGAAATGGGACTGGAATATTTCAGCCGCAGGTTAGACTTTATGTAAAGTCTAGATCTGCTCAAATGGTTCTTAGCACTTCCTCACTATTGCAGGATTTTTCTCCTGCTTCCACTATTTGAGAGAAGGTGGTGTGCTATTTCTGGAAATTTGGGATTGTCCTTTTGAAACTGTGGTTTTCAAATATTTCAACTGACAAATTGCTCTCTTGGTTTCTAGAAGCAGAACCAGCCTATGTGTGGGGTGTCTGGGTGGGTGGTTTTGGTCATTATTCAAGTAGTTGAAACTCGGGAGGCTGATCTAGTAGACTTTGATACTTCTAGCTTTGTTTTTAACAGTTTTTTTAATGTTTGAATTGCATGTACATTTAAAATCCATCATATGTATTTTTTAAAATCTTCTTTAAGAATTAAAAATTAAAAGTGCTATTCTTATTGTGCCTATTCCTTTTTGAGCAAGCCTAAGGCAGCAAATGAGGTACAACGTGTACTGCAACATAGGCAGCCACTTTTGGACCACACAGCTTTCTCTTTCTTGTTTTAATTCAGCAGAATATTAGAAATCCCTCTGTCCTCGGCAGTGCTGGAGCGCAATAAAAGCATGTCAAAAGCAGAATGCTTTAGTAGAGAATTTCAGGAAATTCATATGCCTCTGTGGTTTTTTTTTTTCATTTGGTTGGTTGTTTTCCCCCTTAGCATGAGAGGTGCGAGTAGCAAGTGTCGCTGGCTGGGAAGTGATCTCATTGCATTGTTTCTCAGGTGCCCTGAGGTACGCCTGGGTTTCCCAGTATGCATTTTCCTTCTCTCTTCCAGTGTCAACGCCTGTGTAGATGTGGTTCTGTCCGGTGTGAAGTTATTAGAGGCTCTCGGTCTTGAACCTGGGGATAGGAAAAATCATGCGGTCTTGAACTCCAGACAGGACCTGAAAGAGGCGTTTGCTCACTTCATGGAAAAAGGGGCAGCTGCCGAGCGCTTCTTCAGCGACGCTGAGTCTTTCCATCACATTGCACAGACAGCCTCTGAGTACCCTGGTGCGCAGGTATGTCCTCCCCCTGAAGATCAGCTTTAAGATGTTACTTATTTTCTGCATCATTGGTGACTCTTGTTCTCTGTCTAGTGAGAGTGCAAATCGTTTAGGAAAGAAAGTTACAATATAGCTTGAGTGTGTTTGTGACTTTCCATGGAACTCTGCACCTGCTGCAAGTAGTGGGGTTTTAAATGGTCTGTCCCCTGCTTACTTTCCCAAAACTGAAACGTCAAAGATGCCTCTAAGGATACTGTTATATGGGAGCCAGATGGGGCTGATGCTGTAAAAGAGGCTCTAACATCTTGTAATGAGGAGGGTAGTGAGGAAATAGATTCAGGCATTAGGAGTTGTAAACACTCCAGTCAGCTTCAGCTACTTAACACAGGATTTAAATTCTCTCTAGGAGTAATGAAAAGAAGTACTTTTTTTGAAGCCTCCCTTTCCAAAACCAAAGTTTTGTTGCTCTAATTTATAATGGGTCTTCAGAATCTAGATTAATACCTTGCTTGGCAGTGAGCTAATTTCTAGACTGCTTAGTGCTGCCTTCTGTGCAGTTTGCCTGCTGCTTTTGAAAATGAGGAAGAACTCTAAATGCCCGTTATTTGTCAAGACTCCTGTGTTGACTTATTTCTCACCATGTTTGCTACACTGGCCTTCTGCAATCACCTGATTATTAGCTGTATCCTTCTATAACCTGTTTTCTGTCACCTCTGAGTGCCTGCAACCCTCATGACAATCTAATTTTTGGTTTCAGAGCTCACAACAGAGTTCCTTACTTGAAAGTTTGACCTTTCTTACCTGAAGAAACTTTCACGCTTCCGCTCGCTTCATGTGGGCACAGGTAGCAGGTTTAACCTTGACTTCAAAATGGAGCAAGTTTTTATATGTTTGTCAGTTGTGCTAAAAAAACACGTTACCAACTGCCAGAGAGAAGTTGCACAGAAGTAGGGGCTGTTTGAGTTACAAATCAATTGATTTTTACAGGGCTGTTACCTGAAGGCGAATATTTAGATTTTAGAAAGTCAGAGAACACTCAGCTTGTTGAGATCTCTCAGAGAATTTTAAAATAGTTTTGCCTTCAGTCCTGATAAGCATTATTAACTTCTGTACTGCTAGATCCTTTTCTAAAATGCTAAAATCTCTAGCCTGTACTGAAGACTAAGCATGTATAAAGCTTTTGAAGCAAGGGAATGCCCATACTTGCCTCTGTTTTACAGCTTTATGTAGGAGGAAATGCTGCTCTCATTGGTCAGAAGCTCGCCACCAATCCAGACCTGAAGGTATGTGTTCCAAAAATTTCATGCTATTCGCTTCTCTTTAATGAAATTCACCTAATTTCCCTGTAGATTTGGGGGATCTGGCAGCTATTTCTTAGATTATGGTGGAACATATGGTTGGCCTTACAAGTTGAAAAGCATAGCTGATTTTTTAAAATTTTATTAATATTTTTTTATCAGTTGTCTGGGTGATGCTTAAATTCACTGAAATGGTGGCAGATGACATGGCAGGGAAACCTTGATTGTTTTTTCTTGTTTTTTAGATCCTCCTTTGTGGCCCAGTTGGTCCTAAACTCCATGAACTACTTGATGACAATGTGGTTGTGCCACCTGAATCCATGCAAGAAAGAGATGAATTCCATCTTATCTTGGAGTATCAAGCAGGTACCTTGCCAAAGGCTGAACGTTACATGGGAAGCCCAAGCATCACTAAGATATTCCTAGCTGTAAAGCTCTTGATTTTTGAAATTTGTGTAAATTATCAGTATTGGCAGCTGTCACTGCGCTAATCTGTAATTCCATGCACTTCAGGGAGCTGTGGTAGGTGTGGTAGGTCTAAAAGTCTTCTGAAACTTTCTCCCTTTGTGATGCAGTTACTGTAAATACTGACTCGTGTTGCCTAGCCATCCCTTTGGTTCTGTGTTCTTGTACACTGTAGCCTATAGAAACCGAGTGGACTTTTCATTTTGTTGTAATGCATAGCCTAAGCGGACATAATGGGTGTAATTCTAAAGCTGTATGAATGCTAAAATAGGCAAGAAACGTTCTCTGAAAACAAAAAAGGTACCATTTAACCACATACAGATGAAATTCAGGGTAACCCTAATGATGGCTAAACCAAATCTGCATGTATTTTCTTGCTGTTCTCAACTGGAATCATTTCACTCATCCTGTCTCCAAATCTAGCTTCAGAGAGAGTTGTGTGACAGAAAGGGGAGTATTTGGCAAGTAGGGAAGGCAAGAACCACCTTAATTAAACTTTTTCTGCAGCAAAACTAATGTGGAGCAGCACCCAAAGCATCCACTCTGATGGACTCCTGGCTGAAACAAGGTTACTATAACTGACAAATACCCTAACACGGTAGCCAATGGAAAATACACTAATCGTTAAGTAAATCTTAGTCTTCTTGCTCCTGGAAGCATCTCAGTTAGATATGTCAGTATATGATGTCTCCTTTTCTTGGCATCTTTGTTCTTGGGTGAGAACTGCCCTCCTGATGCAACTCTGGGGATCTTTGTTCTGGACAGAACTTTGTCATGAGACTTTTTAAGAGAAGGCAGCACTGACTGCTGTTGATGCTGGTTTAGTGGCTTTTCCACAAATGCTGGTCATATTCCCCATAGTGTAACCAGTATACAGTCTGGGAGAGCCAAGTGAAGAACACTGCAGGCTGGTTCTAAGGTGGAGATTCTGCCTATAATAGCCTCAGCGCTTCTAGTGGCTTTCTGTTCAAGCTGCCCTTTGCAACCTGTGTTTATTTATTCCATGTCTTTCTGTCCAGTTACCATTAACTGGCACAGGAGCTGCCTGCTGCCTGAACAAAGATGTGTATACAGATGGGGAGAGCTGGCAGAGGGCTGGCCAGTTGGACTGTGGCTTCGCTAATTTGTATCCTCTCTAGGCACACTCTCGTTATGCTGTTTTCTCATGGCTCGGTGTCCTGGAGGTGGAGCCCCTTTAATTTGTGATCTTATCCAGGAATAAAATAGTTTGCACATACAGTACAGATGCAGCTCTGTTCTGCAGGTCATTCCTGAGAGCTGTGCAGTCAGGAACAGTAAGAGCCATGAGAGATTTTAGGGTGTATCCTCATAATAGTTGAGCTAACAGCCGGTGGCTGCCAGAAGGGGTAGGTCTCCCCTCTCTTTGCATAGCCTGGACGCTCCAAATGTTTGGCTTGAGCTGGCTGTGACACTCACCTAATTGCATGCTAAACTAATACAACTGATTAAAACATCACAAAGCTTGCAAAACCAAACAAGTATTGAATTTTCCTTCTGATAAGACAAGCATCTAAATGAGGCAGAGGGAGTGAACGAAGAGGATGAATGAGAAAAAGAGCAAGATTTCTCATCTGGCTGGCAGTAGCTGTTAATTGGGCACAGTCACATTGTGAAATTGTGTCTTTAGATTCCAGCAGGAATCCAAAACAATCTGCAGATACACGGTTTGATTTGCTTCTCGTCTGAGTTAACTTGCTTCTATTTGTTTCACCCTAGGTGAAGAGTGGGGACAAGTGAGAGCACCCAATGCCAACCGCTTCATCTTCTCCCATGACCTGTCAAATGGCGCCTTAAATATGTTGGAAGTGTTTGTGTCCAGCTTGGATGAATTTCAGCCAGATCTTGTGGTACTTTCTGGACTTCACATGATGGAAGGCCAGAGCAAGGAGATGCGACAGAGACGGCTTATGGAGGTAAGATACTTGAATAGCAGTGTCTCCTTAATTTCCATTCCAATAAAGGCTTCATGGCAAAGTCTTGGTTTCTCAGGTTTAAACTTGTAAGTAGGCTGTGTCTTCAGATCTCCCACAAATCCTTTCAGTATTTCATGCTAAAAGAAGAGTGTGAACTGTAGGAATGGCAAAAGGCTAATCCTGTAACACTGATGTTTCATAGATTCAGTGGGTTGTCTAGGGAAAAAAAGGTATGGTCTGGTTGGCGGGCTGGAGTACCTTGACATGGTTCCGGGAGCTTATCTAGTGGCTAAATTACACTTTTTCTATCCCAGATACTAAGATGATCAAGGTTATAATCAAGACTTGCATTCTTTAAGCAGCACCTGTGTTAGATAATCTAAGAGGCAGCTTTCTCATCTGAGCCCAAAGGAGCTACACTAAGTTTTCTTTTTATTTGCAGGTCATTGCCTGTCTTACAGCTGAGTGCCCTTTCTGATGCAATGCACTAGGCTTTTTTTATTTATTCTGTTCTAGGATCAGCTGTTCTACAGCTGCTTCATATTTGTGAGGTTTCTGAATTAGTCCACTAGAGAAGTGCTGTGCTGGGTGCATATTAGGGTTAGATACAGTTTTCCTGCTCTGGGATTCTGAAAACTAAAGTTGTTTGTATTTCTTTCCCTTAGCAGTACATTCTGGCACTTGTCAGACATCTCATTTGGAATTGTGTTTAAATCCGTACACAAGAAGAGTAAAGAGTGTGTATCTCTGAGACAAACCTCCTTTATGAATATGTGTTTTAGGGTTGTTTTATTTTTCTGTACCCCTGTAGGCTGTGGCCTCCATCTCTGATATCCCTACCGACATTCCCATACATCTGGAGTTGGCCAGTATGACTGACCAAGATTTTATGAGCAACATTATACATCAGGTAATGAAAATGGAAGGACACACTCTTTCCTTTTCTTCAGTATCAGAATGCACAGACTGGCAGATGAATATGGAAGTGAAGACTTAAAATTAAGCTATCCATTTGAAGATTAATTGAGAACATGGGTTTCATGTCTGCTGTTGCATCTGAATGCTTCTGTTTTCACTGCTGAGCTTAGCAGAGTCTCCTCTGTGCAGCAAAGGAGAACTGTAACGACTTGTGGCTTAGCAGAGAACAGATTTGTTTTCTTTAGCTCAGAGCATTCCTTTCAGAAAGGTCTCTCTGGGAAGTTTCATTTAAGAGGTATCTTTCTGTGCCCTCAGACCGTTTTCAGCAAGGAGTAAAGATTTTTTGCAGATCTGAGTTTATTCAGCAACTGTATTCAGTAAAAATACTGTGCAACACAGTTGTCTCTGTGCTCTGATACACAGATTCTTTGCAGTCAGGGGCAGGTGACCCAGGAGAATACTTACAACTCCACAGATACAAGTAACTTTGGCTGGTTTGGATTTAGCAGGCTTGCAGATTTCTGGGGGGGGGGGGAAATTTGAATTTGAGCTTAGTTTATAATTTTAAAAAAAAACCTTGATTTCGTTGCAGAATTTCTTTCCTGCAGATTGTGATGGTTCCTTGTTTAACTTGACGCAGGTCTAATCTCAGTGTTCTGAGCGTTTCATGTGGATTTGATGTTTTCTTACTCTTTCTTGTCAAAGTGTGTGTCTAGGAAACTAATTGCACAAAATAAGCATTCACCTTTTGGAGTGAAATGTTTCCTTGGCGAAGTAATTCTTGCAGACTTGTAGAATGGGGAAGCTCGTGCAGTGATCTGGGGCTGCATCTCTCCAGGAAACCGGCTGCTCCCTTCTGCTGAGTGCACTGGCCACAGGGCCAGTAACACCGTACTGTAAGAACAGTACCCTGAATGAGGAAGACCGAAGTCTGATTCTCTCCCTGAAGGAAAAACTATTGTTTCTGTGTTCCTGTTAGCAGGTCTTTCCCCTGGTGAACTCCATTGGGCTGAATGAGCAGGAGCTGCTGTTCCTCACACAGTCTGCCTCTGGTCCCCATGCTGCCCTCGCTTCCTGGAGCGGAGTTCCCGACGTGGGTGTTGTCAGCGACATCCTCTTCTGGATCCTGAAGGAGCACGGGAAGACGGCGGAGCGGGCCTCTGACCTGACACGTGTCCACTTCCACACCCTGGCCTATCACATCCTGGTCACAGTGGACGGGTACTGGGGCAACCAGGTTGCGGCTGTGGCTGCCGGCGCTCGAGCGGCCGGGACTCAGGCCTGTGCGACCGAAACCATCGATACCAGCAAAGTCTTTCTTAAAGCTCCTTTGGAGTTTGTGACCTCCCAGATAGAGGCACCTTCCAAAATCTCTTTAAATCCAGACGAGCCAGTGGTGCATTGGCACAGAGAAGGCATCTCGTTCCACTTCACTCCTGTTCTGGTCTGTAAAGATCCTGTCCGGACCGTGGGACTTGGGGATGCTATTTCAGCTGAAGGACTGCTGTACTCAGAAGTATATCCTCAATAGAAAACTAAAACCCTCCTTTTTGTCCAATACTGTACGGTGTCTGAGGAACCATGGATTAGGATTTCAGCCAGTGGTGGTATAGGAACAGAATCAGGGTGTGGTGTATTTTCTGGGTATAACTGAAAAAGAGCCAAAGAATAATTCCAGGTATAAACTGTCAGATACATTCCAGTCACTTGGCAGCGACTTGAATGCCTCACGTTTGGGTGCAGACGTTTTAGTATTCAATGTGAAAGCTGGCTTTGCTTTGTCTTAAGCATGCGGGGAGGGAAACAAGTATTAATATCCCCGTTTGGGCTAGGTTTGCTGTTTGTAACTCTGAAGGGGTCTTGTCTGTCAGTGCTGGAAAGCACAACAGCCAGGAGAACTTCCTGCATGTGGATCCCAGGGAGAGCACCGCAGTGCTCGGCCCTGGCTTGACTCTGATCAAGTAAAAATAAAAGGCTCTTGCATTATTTCTTCTCAGCACATTGCTACATGGCAAGAGCAAACCTTCCGCTTGCTTGGTGTGATGATGAAATCTTTTACTGATAAATTACCTCTCAGGCTCTGTGTCCCCAGCATCGGAGGGAACCGAGTCCCAAAATGTGATGCACATGGTACCTCCTGAAATCACAGAGAAAACCTGACTCAAGGCTGTGTAAATTATTTTGGGTATCTGTTGTTTCTGTGACTAGAGGTATTCAGCTGAGCCCTGGTAACTTGTGCTTAGTTTTTGGGCAACTAGAAAATAATCAGGGTTTATATTTGGGGAGGGAGGTAACCACAAAACGTTACCTGTGTTCACTGTACACTAAATACCCCGAGATCCAGCCGGGGGGGGCTCACAGCTGGTGTTCTTTGCTAACAGCAGGTGCTTATATCTGTTATTTTACAGGAAAGCTGTTGAGTCATGGAGACTAATTTTCTGTTTGAGAATGGTTGTGCAGTTTCCCTGCCCTCCATTCAGAAGGGCCAGTACATTAGGAAAGGTCCTTTTGGAGGCTCAAAAGCTGCCACAGCGTTTTCCAGGTAAGACTGAAGTGAGGAGGGCTTTTTAGGGTTTGATGCTGGTTTTTTTCTTTTGTTTGACTACGCCACTGATGGTTTCTGTTCTCTGGACAGCCTTTGAAATTAAAAAAGTGCAGTCATGTGTCCTTGTTAAATACTTGTTTATGTTTTTTTCCTCTTCATAGTAGCACATTATAGATTGCGTAGCACCAGCATTTTTTTGTCTCTTTCCAGCATGGTTTTGTCTCTACTTCCAAGAAGTCCAAGTGTATTTGCATTGCTATCATACACGTTTTTTTAGTATAACTGGATTAAATGCAGTCAGCATGTCTCTGTGAGCCTGTGCTGTACCAGGATTTGTAGGAGGTTGCTTTAGGTCAGTCTTTGTGTCTGAATGGAAGGGAGAAGAGTCTGTGTCACTTAGGCTGGAGTGATCCGTTTCTGTAACGCTGTCATATGCTGTCAGTGATGTTCTGTTGGAAAATGCCACCGTGAATGCACTGGAAAGATAAAAATTGACAGCTGTTGTAACTTGTACTGACTTCACACACAATGCTGTCTATCACTGTATATTTAACTTTTGCTTTTTCTCTGAGCAGTCTTCTGTGTTGTAGTGGAGAAATGCAGTCAGTGCTGGGTCTTCCTGCAGCTTATCCCATCCCCATCTTCTGTTGAGTCTCAGCATTTTATCTCAGTGCAGGATGTTTTTAAGACTGGAAGTATTTCTGTCCAGATTTTTTTTATTATTGTTGATAAATGGTAGTTCAGTCTTCCTACAGAAAAAATAAATTTAAAAATTCTACTTTCAGCTGTTTAAAAACTCTGAGGCCATTAGCAAGGTTATTTTGCAACTTCTGATCGTAACCATCTGGCACACCACCCCTCAGACCACCAAAGGCCATGCATCCTGCCAGCGGGAGAATTGATCCTTTGCTTACGCCTGGTCCTGCTTTTCTGACATCAGGCCAAGCTGTGTGGATGCTCGAGTTGGAAACAAAACAAAACTAAATACACACAAGCTGTCAGTGGCAACCGTCCTGCTGCTGTATTTCACTTCTCTCTTCCAAAAATGTTTGCAGGGATGCGAGGCTGATTGGACTGGCATTGCCTTATGGCCATGTAAAATCACATAACTGCACTGACAGAGCTTGTCCAAGAGTTAAGTTACGCTTGCATTGAACAGGAGTGTTAGAGGCCTAAATTACCTCTCTTTTTTTTAATGCTACTTTGAATAAATAACTGCTGTAAACAAATATGGAAAAGGGGTTTATTGTTTAGAATTCATCTGGGCCTAAAAGCTAAACGCTTAATTATTAACTCCTCCTTCCTGTTCTTTCTCACCAGGTAATGTTTCTTCTTTGGCCTGTTACCGGTGTGCTGTATGCCTGGCACCATGACTCACTTCTCAAATGCCAGTAGCTGATGATGGCTATACTGCTGCTCTAGCTATAGATCTGCTTTGAGCAGCCATACAGAGCTCACCTGGTCACCACGTTCACTTACCAAGGCTAATTCTTAACAAGCGTGACCTGTTAATCATAATTAAATATGCTGTTGGTATCCCTGATCAAGTTTTGAAACAATCTATATGGTAATAAAAACCTAAACTGAATGGTGGGACCCGGCAGCCTGCCTTCACTTCGTGCTTCATGTGCTGTGAGCATGATGTGCTTAACTTCCCTCTGCCTGCCTTACTTAGACAGGGTTGCTGAGGCTCTTGCAGTCCTTCTCGTGTGCGTATAGGCTGTCTTAGCACCTCTGCACAGCTACAACAGTGACAACAAAGAAAAGCTGCTTTATCTTTACCAGACCTTGCTGAACAACACATGGAAATAGCTAGTGGGGCTCTTTTGGCATGTACAGGGCCAAAAAACCTACTGAAATTTCTGTTGATTGTGGGGTTTGTTGTTTGGTTGGGTTGGGGGTTTTTTGTAAAATACAAAAGTCCTTGGTAGGTGAGAGATTTTTAGATGAATTTATTTCATGGATTATAAAAATCCAGATCTCTCTTCACCATGAAGAAAGAGATCAGTTGCAGAAATACCAAAGCTTCAAACCCAGGCTTGAAACGGCCTCTGCTTTCCCCTAATCCTGTCTCTACAAATTCCGTTTCTTCTCGTGTGTTAGTCATACCTTGAAATCCAGGGATGGATGACTCAAACCTCGGCTAGTCTCGTACTCCTGAACGTTTCCACTGAAAATGTTTATTCACACATAGTTTGCTGAAGAGGCAGTAGATGAGCTCATCACTGTGACAGTAAGCTAGTGGCTCATGAGATGATAAAACCTGTGCACATTGATACTTCCACTTCTGTGTGCCTGCAGCCAGTGCAGCCATGTTGGGTTTGGTTTTTTGGCTTGCCCTCGATCAAAAATGAGCAGTGCCTCATCTCTTCTGTGTACGTTGCCTACGGAAGGTGAAGCGGTGGGTTATCTGAGATAGTGAATCCCAGGCAGACATTGAAAGGGTATGTTCCTCTGCTGCGGTGCCCATGATGTGCGATGCCTACCTAGCTGGGCAAGACCCAATCTCAAATCCAACTCTTTCCAGCTTAAAGGCTCTTCACTTCTCTTTTTTTCCTCTCCAGGGGAGTTTCTCAGCATTGCTAAGGATTTTCTTTACTCCTGTGTTTCTTGGTTATCTGCTGTTGTGATAGGAGATCCAGTTAAGTTTTCTTTTTTTCCCATGGGTTTCTTTTTACAGAATTGGTGCTGAAATTTTCTTCTCTAGCCTTTGAGCATTGCCTTTAGCAAAGACCCTTATCAGCTGCTTTGACCCATGTTAGATGTTGCTTCTCAGCTACTGGAATGCAAAGCCTGTACTCGGTCCATTTCCAAAGCCCGATGGAGAACCGTCAGCAGTGTGTTTGTATTTTAATGTATTTGCTATCTGTTCTCCTCTGCCCAAGTTCGTTTTAAGACTAGTTAGTCTAAGGTAGGGGTTGCTTTTTGTAGCCCACTCTGCAGTACGCTTCCCAACAAAGGGAATAAAAACCAGATTTTTTTAAAAACTGTGAAATCCACTGATGCTACTTGTGGTTGGCTGCTTTGTTGTTGTGGTTCTGTGATGATGTACTGGATTATCAGGAACTGTGTGCCACAGGGTGACCTTTCCAACCACATCCTGTGAAAAAGGTTAAAATGAATACTTGGACAGTTTTTGCAAAAGTTGTACAAGGCAGCATAACTCTCCAGTTACCCTAAAAGTTGTTTAAATCTCTGTGCTATTGGGCACTTTTTTGGAGCTTGCAGCTTAGGGTGAAAACCGATGCTGTCATCAAGGAGGGAGCAGCTAAACTGTCTCTGCGTTGGTATCTGGCACTGGCTGCTGATACCCTTGCTTGGAGCAATCTGTTCTGAAGCAGCACTGTCAAGTACTGTCACACAGTGTGCTGCCTTCCTATTTCTGGTGTAAGGAGACTCATCAAGTCTTTGAGAACATTTGGAAGAACAGTAGAAAAATGGAGAGGAGTAATGGATTTATATTTTTATTACTTTAGTTGGATTGTTCCTACGCCCTGCATTAAATCAGTATTTGAATGTGAAAGTTTGTTTCAAGCCATATTAATTTTGCTCTTCTCTAGTACAATTAATGTTTTGGTAAAAGCATAGAGTTAAGTTTTAAACCTGTGATCATACCAAAGCGGTAGTCTCATGTTTAAAAAAAAAAATTGTATGTGTAGAGACTCATTTGTTAGAACCAGCTAGAACAGATGACACAACAAAGACTGTCTCGCATTCCTCATTCAAGCACTACTGAGGTCCTAGAGAGAGAAATGAGAATATTAAATTATGTCTTTGCTCTTTGTTTTTAAAGTTTGAGTGATAAGGGGCAAAGAAAACCTATTTGCAAGACTTTCCTTTGTGTAGCATATCCCTTGGCCTGCTCTCATCGCTCCTCTCTGCCTGAGCAATACTGGGTCTGATTAAACCCTTCACTAAAACTTGATCTTAGAGCCAGAAATGATTGTTCTCTTGTCTGTTCAGAGGTGTCAGACGAAGTTCTCTTCTGTAACAGATGGAACAGTTTCTTGTATAATATCTCAGGTGGATCCTAAGCGCCAGCTAGCCTGAATTCTCAGGGAGTTATTGATCCAGACTCTTGTGGGAGGATGTTCTCTCAGCAAAGGAAAACAGTGCAGGTTGGAAATAGCGTGCGTGGCCGTTACCTTCTGCACTGGACCCTGGGAAAGGCCCCTGTTCCAAACAGGTCCCTGCACTCTGAAAGCTGAGCCTGGTACCAGCCTTGGCTGAGAAGATCTCATAGCAGCTGAAGAATACAAATGCTGTCAGCTAAGGGGGAATGATCTCATTAAAATGCAAGTGGGGAGACAAAAAAAAAAACCTGAAAATCTCCCCTGTGAATTTTTCAGGAAAGCTGCTCCTTAGTGCAGCCTGGGTAAAACTGGGTTCAAGTCTTACCTGTGTCTTTCATTAAAAACGACTGATTGCTTTGTGCAGCTTGGTTTGAGAGAGTGGTGAAGCTTACCTTTTAGCAGAACTGTGTTTTCTATTATATAAAACAGTCTTGGCAGATAAACTACTTGTAATAGGTGCTCTTTTTTTTTTTTTGTAGTGCATCTCTGTGTGGAGCTTATTGTCTTGGTAAAGTTTGGTTTACTTCATGCAGCACTGAGGCTTGTCTGTCCCTGTAGAAGAGGCTTTGCCAACTGAAACCCCTTTATCATGGGGGAAGTCTGCATCTTAGGCAAGAACAGGATGTTGAGTAGGACCCAAGGTCCGCCTTGCTCAATGCTGCTGGTCAGTGACCACAGTTGGGCACACGAGATTGTACACAGGAGCAGGGCAAGGACACTAATGCTGCCTGTATTAGAAATCGGCATCCAGTTGTCTTGGGGACCTGAAAATCCAGGTATCTGGATGAATACATGTTGCTGGACAGACAGATCATGAGGCTTGGCTGAAACAAGGTCCTGCTGCCCAAGCATAGCTGTCTGAGTGACTTCTAGTTTCCTTCCTGTGAGGAAGTCAAGCTGCAGTCTAACTTGTAAGCTGTATTATTTAACCTGGTTAATGATACACCTTTCTATAAAAATAGGGGAAAAAACATCCTAAAGCGGATGGTTTCTGCTTCCCTAGAAATTAAACTCTTTATTCTTTTCCATCTTAAAATTTCAATTATGGAGGGGGAAGGAGAGGATTAGAATTATGGCTGATGCCAGAAACAGGTTTTGGAACATAAGGTGTGATTTCCAAAATCCCTAAATGACTTAGTACAGTCCTGAAAAATCCCTTGCTTAATTCCAGCTGAAAGAACAGTCCAGTCTCATTCTCATCATTAGATAGCATAAAAAAAAGCTTTCCATAAAGATACTATGAATTTACTGGATGCAAGTGCCATCATCACAGTACCCATGGGGAGGAGAGGGTACAGGACTGGGAATTGCAGTTCTATTTATTATCCAACTGTAATTACAGATTTTTTTCTTCCTTAGACATGAAGCACCCTTCTGCTCTGTTCAAATCCAGAAAGTAACAAAGTACTACCACTCCTTTTCACAGGAGAATTGGTGAATCATCTGCATAAGCTTTTCACAAAATATATATTTATTTTAAATACCTTTACAGTACCTCCAAATGAAGTATGCCCTATGTATTAACATTTATTATTACATATAACATTATTATGTGTAACGTTTACCCTATGAAAGCATCCTAACAGCCAAGAAGGAAACGGGTTGCACCAGTGAGACTGGGTGAGGAGAGAGATCTTTGGGCCTGAGGTGGGCTCTTGAGAACAGCAGTGGGACAGGGGCTGCTCCCCATCTGTGAGTACAGCAGACAAGTCTGATAACGCTACAGTTTGGTTTTTTTACAACAAGCAGAAGGCAGGGGAAGGCAGCTAGTAAAATTAAAACAAAGGGTCATTAGCAGGTGGAAGGAATACCTTCCTGCAGGAAAGATGCTGGTGCTCACCTACCTGTAACCACACTGTTCTGGGCACTGTTCCCTGTGCTTGGAGCTTGAAAGCTTTCCTGATGAGATTAAAAGATAACAGCAATCAACTGCAGATGGAAAAAACTGTCAAACTCCACTTTTGGGGGTAAGGTGAAGTTCCCATACCCTGCCTACCCTTGAGCTGTGATCTTAACCTCTTCTTCAGAGGTACTCTGTTACACTGCAGTAACATTCAGTGTAAAAAGTTTAATGTGAATAAAAATCACTGCACTGTACCTGATGCACGCTGCTTCTTGTCTGGTTTGTTTAAATTTGCCAATGCTCCACAAAAGAGCCCCTGTTTCCTTCAACTCCTAGCGTAAAGGAATCCTCCCAGGAGTGCTGCCCTGAAGCTGTATCAATACAAACCCCAGCACTAGAGGACAGCTGGAGGAAAAAAAAAGCCACATTTGAGATAAGCAAGCAGTTCTGGCAGTCAAAACAGGAGAAAGTGAAGGGTTCCTACTCATTCAGTGTCCCCCCAGGAGTAGGACAGCACTTCAGTTTCTGGATGTGCTTTAAGGATTCATTAATGTCATTTTGGATAAGAGCAGCTAACCACAAAGCACAACTGAAGGATGTTCATGTATCCAGAGCCTTAGTCACGCTGCTTTTACGTTCATGAGACAGAGAAGTTTCCATTATTAACCTTCCTCCTTTGGACTTGTTAATTATGGAATGATACCACGCAACACTGCAGAACTAAAAGCTGGAAATACATTTTAAAAAGCTGGGTGGCTTAACCAGCAACTACACTGAACCCTGAAGCTTCGGTTCTACTGAGGAAGTGCTTCACATTCTGTGTGGAAAACTCCGATCGAAAGCCTTGGGGCCACGTTAACTTGAGGTACTTCTCAGCACAGAAGGGAGCAGGAGAAAAATGATACTTAACCCTGTTACTGGTTCTTTATGTAAAGGCTGATGTTGCACCTTTAGTTCCCAAAAGCTGCTGTTTTGAGCTCTGGATAAATCCCAGAGGAACCAAACTGATGGTAGCAGAGAAAAGGAAGGCTTAAGGTGCTGTTCAAGAATAGAAACATTTACAAAGCATCTCCAGGATCATGTGGGCATTAAAATTCCTTGCTCTGCTCACCAATGGGCTGCTTTGCCACCTTGCAGCTACCATGAACGATTTCTCCAAAAATGCAGCTGTAAGGAGCTGTAACTGAAGCATTCAGAGCATGGCTGTGGTCATAGTACAACAATTTAAATTTAGCACTGAGGCTGACCAGATTGTCCTTTCTGAAAAGGCCTGTTCTTTTCCTGCAAACTGATCTTTCCACCCCGTGCTGGGCAATATTCTCAAGGAAAAGCTCCAGTCACATGAACAGAGCTCATTTACCTCGTTTCTCAGCAAACAATTAGGAATTTGGCAGACTTCTTTGCTGATGCACCTACCCTGCTTCCAGAACAGCCAGCCTCTGAGCACTTGCCCTCCTGTGGGCCAGCTCTGCAACCTTCTTAGCTACCACATGGAAGCTTATGCTTAAAACTAATTTGCATTCAAGAAAATTACTGTGTTCAGTTTGGGCCCCTCACTCCAAAAAGGCCATTGAATGACTCGAGCGTGTCCAGGGAAGGGCAACAGAGCTGGGGCAGGGTCTGGAGCACAGGTCTGCTGGGGAGCGGCTGGGGGAACTGGGGGGGTTCAGTCTGGAGAAGAGGAGGCTGAGGGGAGACCTCCTGGCCCTCTGCAACTCCCTGCCAGGAGGGTGCAGAGAGGGGGGATGAGTCTCTGGAGCCAAGGAGCCAGCGCCAGGCCCCGAGGGAATGGCCTCAAGCTGCCCAGGGCAGGGTCAGGCTGGCTCTGAGGAAGGATTTCTTTGCAGAAGGGGCTGTTGGGCGTTGGAATGGGCTGCCCAGGGCAGGGGGGAGTCCCCGGGATCCCTGGAGGGGTTGAAGAGTCGGGCTGACCCAGCGCTGAGGGATCTGGGGGAGTTGGGAACGGTCAGGGTGAGGTTCGTGCTTGGACTGGAGGAGCTGCAAGGGTTTTTCCAACCCAGGTGAGTCTGTGAAATACAAAGAGTGATCCTGGGATCAGAAGGTGAATAGCCCTAAAGAAAAGGTGCCATTAGCCCAGCAGGTCTGCCTTGATCATCCATCCGCGCTGGGCTGCGTGTTAATGGCACGATGGCCCCAGACAAACCAGCTGGCCTCTGCTATGCAGCTCCCCTGTGCTCCACCACGGCCAGCGCTAAGGACTGTGCGGGCCTGAAAGTGCCTCTCGTGCCTGGTGACCATCACATAGCCCTGCTCAGGAATACCGGCTCCCAGCTGTTTCAGCTTCCTTTTTTCAGCCTCGAGAAAGCATTTACAAAGTCTTGCCCTTGTGAAACAGAGAGCGACAGCCCCTGTCTCACGGTAAGCCAGGCTGTGCTAAGTCCCCAGCCTGGCTTACTGCTCTGCACTTGCCCTGGTGAACTGTGCCACCTTCGCCCCCTCTCTTACAGCCTGTGTAGGGCTTCCTCAGCTGCTTACAAGTTCAGCCACTGGAAGGGTTTGATCCTCTTTGGGGTCCGGGATGCTAAGTCACTGCTGCTGGCTTTTCTAAACATACTGGATGCCTCAGCATCCTTCCGGAGGACTCACGCCCAAGCACGGAGGACTGCCAGCCCTGTGGGCAGGTGGGTCTCCATGCTCCTGTCGCTGGTAGTAAGCTGTGACCACACTAGCAGCAGCTATGCAGAAACCTCTCCTGATTGCTGCAACATCTCCTTGGGACAACGTAGAGATTGTGTGCTAAAATAATTAACAGAAAACAGCTGCATTTAGACTAACTGACAGTGGGGTGAAGCCACCATGGGTTGGGGGAAATGGCAGGTCCTTTTCCCCACAGGCCAGCAGGCAGCTCTGGAGATGCTCCTGCACCCGCCTGTCCTGACCAGAATCTGTCCTAGTCCGCTGCCTGACGGCTCTTCCGCTTTTCTTTCCTCTCTTCCTCAGCCCCTGTAGGTGCTGAGGGCTCCTCGGGGCTCATTTCTGAGCTTGGTTCTGGTTCCAGAGGCAGTGAGGGGGGCTTTGCAAGTGGAGCTGATGCTCCAGCACCTGGGGAGAGAACACAGTTACAGTTACTGTACAAGTGTGTGTGTTTCGTCTATTTTTGCCCTTCCAGGCAGCGTGGAGATGCAGAATAATCAAGAATAGTATTTCTGAGTTAAGAATAATATTTCTGAGTTAAATAATAGAAGAATGCAAGAATAATATTTCTGAGTTAAATACTCTCAGATTTCTTCTGTCTAGCATTAGCTTATCTATAACACTCAACTCTTTTGTGAGTTATCCAGCCAGAGACCTACAGTACCCAGAGTTCTGCTGAAGGGAAGCTAAGGTACAGTATCTCATTCAGCTGGGCTGCTGTGAGCAGTCAGTACAAACTCAGGAATTAATTCATGCTTTGGAAGGGAAAACAGTTCCACTGAAGCTGGTTTATACTCAAGCTGGAGCCAAAATCACAGTATCATTTTCAGTTCAGAGTTTTAGCAAACTCGGGGAAAGTTTCCAGGCAGTTAAAGTAGCTACTTACAGAATAAAATCAAACCAGGACCTTTCCATGCTGAAGGTGTTTCTACACTTAGATTTAACAACTGCTATTATGAACCAGCTCCCTTCTTTGATATGGATAATAAAGTCCTTCAGGTAAACCCTAAACTCCTGTTTAATTTTTCAGCTTTTCTGGCTAAGTCTTTCCTGCATGGAAAGTTTATTCCATGCATGAGAAATGGAACAGGTCCTTGGGGGTGCCAAAGAAAGAGGCCTGGGTTGCACAACCTCTCTCCTCATTCAGTCTGCAGGCAACAAGACCAAGAGTGACAGAAAATCACCACGATGCGCAACACCTCTAGTGCATTCCTCCTCGAAAGCCAAGGGGTGAGAGGAGGTCAGGCTATGAATGGCTGCTCAGGAGATGCTCCTACCCAGCCCCAGCAAGAAGCAGCATGTACAGGTATGGGTGTAAGCCCTCTGAGGCTGATGCCATCTCCTGAGCAACCTTCAGTCCAGTGGCCCACACTGAAAGGTAATTCAGCAACATTTGCAAGGAGGAACCAGGATGGACAGCTTCAAAGCAATCCAGCTGCAGTTAGCTTTGTAACAGAAATGATAAAGCTTCAGAAAATTGTCCATCATTTCCCCCATCTGTGCATGTCAGCTCCTAGGCTCTTCCAAAGGAAGACAAGAGGTCTGGTTTCTGAAACCACTCGCTTTCCAGAGCAGAATCTCAATCCCATGCTAATGGAGTTTTGCCCATCGTGGCTCAGACAGGAAGGGAAACTACTGGCTTTCCACACCTCTGCAAAAGTAGAACAACAATCTGGGAAAGTTATTACCAAGTATGGACATCACTACTGTGTAAGCAAGTCAATACCTTCCTAAACACATGCTGTAACTCAGACAGATTTCTCTTCTCCCCTCCCACAGTTCTATTTTAAAGAGAAGCAGAAGAGAGGTACCTGGGGGAAGCTGCATGGTTTTCCCATACCCTGCAGCTGAAGACATGGCTTGACCCAGGGCTTGGTTAGAGCCCAAAGGCTGCTGAGTGCTGGAGGATTTCCCTGACAGAGCAGCTCTCTGCTTGGATTTAGACTCTTTAGAAGGCTTAGTCCAGACCAGGCTCTCCCCCACCTGCAGGGCAGCTCCCATCTTCTGGGCAACCTCCACCATCTTCTCAAGAAGCAAAAAGAGAAGGCCATTGTAAACGAACACTTCAGACAACAATGAAGTCAACAACACCAAAAAACCCTCCAGAAACGAGAGCTGTGCAGAGCTGGCTAGTGCCTTGGTGCTCGGGGGAAACATATCTGCTAATTCATTCCCTTAATTAAGAGGGAATCTTGTCTTGCTGTGTATTGATTGAAGAACTGGGCTTCAAAGAGCAGAAATGAAGCAAGCAGCTCTCAGCAGGCAGCCGCTCTACTTGGAAAATCTCGTAAGCAGAATCTTTCTAATAATTGGACTCCAAAGTCAAATTTCCTCCTTGTTTGTTGCCAGTCTTAGCATGGCTACTTAGTTTCCACTGACAGCTGTTAGGCACATACCTCAGGGTCAAAGTCGAGAGTACTGCTCTCCTTCATTGCATTGACCTTCTTCTCCATCTCCTGGTACTGGCAGAGGGCTCCCTTCTTGTCGCCCTGGTTATACAGTAGCACAGCATAGTTCAGGTTGACAAGAGGGTTGCACCTGCAGCAAACACACAGGACGCAGCACATTCACCGTGGGAACAATTATCCTGACTTGAATAACACTAAGAAGTGCCCAGGCAGCAAAGCCAGAGACACCCGATTGTCTGGCACAGCCAAGCCATGGGGTACTCTGACCCCCAAGCAGATGAGGGGCTGCACAGCCAGAGCCCTTTGGGAACACGATAGAGTCCCACGTGCCTGGTGAGAGACCCGGTGTCTGGGCTCAGCCAAGTCTCCCAGTGTCAGTGACAATACAGAAAACTCCACTGATGGCATCACCCCCTGCAACAGGCAATTCTTTCACTTGGGGACCATCTCAGGACTGTCTTTAGTCAGTGCCTGGTCTCCCAGCCCCTTGCTGCTGGGGGCAGGTAGAGCAGTGATGGAGGCTTTCATCATACTGCAAGAGCTGATCTCTGCTCTGACTTATCTCAGGCTCTCCCAGCTCTTCCAGTTTGTAGGAGAGCAGCTTGTCATAGGACAGGGCAGTGGAACAGACTCAGGCTTGGTGATTGTATTTTACAACCCAACATGCTACAGAGCATGCTCTTTACATTTCATTTTCCTCACTTCTCTCTTTCACCCAGTAAACACACACCTAATTGTATGGACTCTTACAGAGAAACAGCAGGTGATACCTATTAACGAAGGACTGGAAGAGGAGACCAGCACCACAGAGAACAGTGTTACCCTGCGCAGTCCTGCCTCCCTTCCTGATGCAGAACAGCACATGAAGATTTCAAAAAGGCAGAATTGCTCCATATATTCTCATTTTCCACAGTATCCATTTTCTTCAGTAGGGTACATTAGCCCCGACCAGCAACTTTTCTTCTGGCATAGCCAGGAGTGTGAGCAAACTAAACCAGAGGGAAAGACTGAGCTGACTCCCTTGGCTCTGTGATTGGTGAGTGAAGCTCTCGGATAACTGATCCTTCCCTCATTGCCTGACAAGCCACACTCATAAACTGCTCTGACCATTCTTTAGCAGTCTGAATTCCACCCTCGTTTTGGGGAAGCAAAATGCATACGTATTATCTGACAAAGAAACAAAATGCAAGAGGGTCACCAGCCCCAGCACGGGAGCTCATGCAGACACTCAGCTCATTCAGGCTGCAGGATGAGACCTGGAAGAGCAGAGGTTGCACCTGCCCAGCACAGGGGACACGCTGTCGAGCGGTGCACGGCAGAACACTGTAACCGCAGCTCCCTGCAGAAGAGCCGCATACATTTATCACTGCACACAGACCAGTGAAAGATGCTTTGTAGTTTGCTCAATAAATGTGAGCGAGGGACTGGTGCCCTCTCCTGGAGTGTGGCAGGGATAACTGGAGCCATCCAAGGACTCCAGCACCAGCGCCTGGGGGGCCAAGACAGAGAGAGCATCCTTTGTGAAAAGTGCAGAAAGAAAGGCTCCTGCTAGCACTGATCAATAAATAGAAAGTGTCATCTGTGGGCCTTGACTATACAGCCTTGGTAAGTTACATGACAGCACTGCAAGAAAGAAGACTATTAGAAGAAATCTGATAGTATGTATAACCATTGGTTCTCCTTTAACTGAGAAACTGGAACACTGACCCCACCACAAAACACACCCCCTCCCCGCCATGGTCTTTGTCAAACCAAAGGAAGTAATGCATGAAAAAATAAATAATCAAAACCCCATCTCTTTGCCCCCTCCCACCCCAAAAAAAAAGCCAAAAAAGAAAATACAAAACCCCAACCCTACACAACAAAACACAGAAGAGATCAGACAGATCTGGGAACATCCAATTTCAAATTAATTGAACCTTATGAGGCCAATTCACTTCAAGAGCTGAGAAGCAGTATGACATTTAGAAAAAAATCAATGGCTAAATAACCACAGAAAGAAAGGACTGCTATGAGCTAGAACCAGTACTAAGAAGAAACACCTTTTTTTAAAGATTTTTCCAAGATACTCTCCATTTCAGGCCCCAGAACAGCACCCAGGCCAAATGTCACAGTGCTGCTGTAAAAGTATTTATGGCAATGGAAACAAACACGGCTCTCTTCATCCCAGTCGAACAGTTCATAATATGCCAGCAAAGAGAGCCTGTGGGGACATGGATTCAGCCACACAATAACTGTGTAAAATATACAGCATGTCAGCTGAACAAGCCTAACAAAGTCTGGATATTCCTCCCAGCAGTCCCTGGCAGTTGGCATTCAGTTTTGCTTTGATGAGGTTTTATTTTCCCAGTAAGACTATACAGCTGTAGCATCACTGTAGTGCCAAATACTTGAGCAAAGTTGTAGAGCTACATTTCTATCCCTCCTCTTTGACCAAACACACAAAGTCATGACTAAGTAATCTTTAAGGTCCTCTACTGCTTTGTTAGGCATGGAAGGCTGGTTAGGAAAGCCAGGCAAAGGAGCTGACTGGACTTAGCAATGTTGGTAGGAATGACCGAGGTGTACACAACACTCTCACACAGCAACGTGTTTACAAACCTTTGACCATCGTTTGCACAGGTTTGGTTCCTCTAAGGAGGCTGCACAGACCTACTGATGTTTGATACAGACGTGGAAGTAGTGTTTAAACCTGCTTTGTAATTCTGTTGATGCATAAGCTTGAAGAACTTCAGTGCCAGATGTGTGCTAACTGATTCAAGAGCTCTGGCACTCTTGCAAGCCACGCAGCTCCCAGGAACATCTGAGAGCGTTTACAGCACCTCTTCACAAAGACAACTGCCCTACAGTGTCAAACACTATTTTTTGAAACCTGCTGCCCTTTATAATGGGCTTAGGAACTTCCAGAATTCCCAAAATTAAGCCTGGCCAGTGCACTTCGTTTAGAGAGGACAAAGAAAAAGGAACCGGTATCTTCTCATGCCACCTTGTGGTGGCCACTGCAGATGAGCGAGTGCTTTTGCCACAGCTCCCTCGAAGGCACAGACTCCTGGGCTCAGGAGCACGGTGCTGGTTGCTGTAAGTATGCAAATATTCACAGTAAACTGGGGAGAGAGACAAAACTATTAATAAATTTCAGACAAATCTGTTCTTCTGCCTGAAATTATTAAACACTGCAAGGTGTTTAATCAACATTTCTGAAACCAACTGCTCTAATTTTAAGAGCTAGATTGCAAACATAGACATTGTTAACAAAATGGAGGAGAAAAGACTACAGTGCAGCCCTTTTACATGCTTTTACTAACTTCTTGCCCACATTCTCCCTGCTAAAAACTTCCCTCTGCCCAATTCAGAACAGACTTTATCCCAAGCTTCTCACTGCTCTGCACAGTGCTCGAACTTTGGGTCATAAAATATTCTGGGATGACTGTTTTATTTCTATTGAATCTGCTCCACTGTGTATAAATATTCACTGAAAGGAGGACTGGAATCCAAAGTCATCACCACTGACTCACAAACTAAACAGCAAAATAAAAACCAGCTCTGGGTTGGTTTGAAACAAAATTTCCCTTTCGTTTCTCAGAGCTGTCTTGAATTTGGAAAAAAAAAAAAAGGTTTTTTTTTTAAAAAAAAAGAGAAAGGTTTTAAAGCTGTCACTTGCACAGCTGCAAGAATAAAAATGTTTCCCTACTGCAAACCATTTAGGGTCAAAGTAGACCAAGGGACAACGCATGCAAAGGAAACCAGGTGCAGAGAGGCAAAGCAACGCAATGAAAAAGCTGACAGCTGTGATTAAGACTTACTTGTCCAGTGCCACAGCTTGCTCATAGGAACGTTTTGCATTCTCAATGTCTTCAAGGTTTGTCAGAGCAACTGTGCCAAAGCAAAATGTACACACACAAGTTGATGCTTCACAAGGACTTCATTTTTAGGACAATTCTGAATGACATTACATCGTAAAATAAATAGGTGCTGGCAGGGTTGTCTGGACTGCTGCCAGGATTAACCCTACTAATGTCACTTCTGACAAATAGTTGTCTTGCTTGATCCCAAAAATGTCCAGTGCTGGAAATCCACATGAACTGCTTAGGCAACCCAAACCCACACCCTGACATGTAGAACATTTTTTCTAATGTTTAATCTGGATCTGACTGCAGTTTAACCTTCCTATTCACCAGAGAGAGAACAGACTATTCAGACTTTATACATGTCAGTGCCCTCCTGGGGAACAGCTTCTTTGTATAGCCTTTATCCAACATTTTTTTACTTCAGCCCAAACCTTCTGTCTCTATAATGCTGCACGCCCTAAGCTGGATATACAGTGGTGCTGGATCATGGAGCATTGCCTACCTGCAAGGAGCATATAGAGCTCTCCCATCTTGGGCTGGAAGTTGATAGCAGCACTGAGGAAGTGGAAAGCAGATGCATACTGCTGCATTGTGAGGTGAACTAACCCCAAATTGTATAAAATCTTCCAGTCAAAGGGAGCCAAGTAGTTTGCCCGCTTCAGGCAACTGATAGCCTTCAAAAAAGGGATAAATGTGCTGTTGTAACATAGCTCACCCAGAACAAACCTCCTGTCTCTGGCACAAGAGGAATCGTGATCTTGCATGAAGTCAGCTACAGATGAAACAAAGAAAGAAAACCAGGGACTTACTGCTACATATTTCTTCTTCCCGAAGAAGCACATCCCAATGTTGTTCCACAGCGGGGGGCTTTCAGGCGCTGTGCTGGCCACCACCCTGTACTTGGAGAGGGCAACGTCAAAATCTCCATGGGCCTGCATCATGCTGCCAGCTGCCAAGGTAGCCTTTGAGAGAAGACAAGAGTGACCAGCTGAGGAACTGCACTTTCCCAGATATAGCAAGAAGACAACAAGAGAACATGAATTAACTAAAGCCATCTCAACAGCAACCATTTAACCTTTTCAGGTGTTTTCTTCTAGGGGCTGCCAAGATCAACAGTGAGGAGCAGATGGGAACTCTAGAATCTCCCAACATATAGCAGCAGACAGGGTAAAGAATGGACTCAGGTCCACTTCTTCCTGCACTATCTTGATCATAACTGTCTTGGAAATATTGTAATGTGACAAGTGTTTAGGATATGTTTTGGGGTGAAAATAGTATCTCCTAGAGTCTGAGCCTCTGAGAAGATCTATACACTAATAGATTCTTTCTACCAACAAGCACAGATAGAAATAGTTCTGGTGCAAGTTAAGTGAAGAGTAAAACGTACTCAAGCAAGACATATGCAGCAAAGCTAGCCTAGTTCACACCGACTGGTTGATACTGCAAATTAATGGAAATATGCATAGGGGAAAAAAAACCCAAGTGATTACAACACACTATATTTAAACCACACTAGTTAAGTCCTTTATAATATTTCACAGTGACACGTAAAATTTGTATGTGTAAAGACGTTTTCACAATAATATTCAGCTTGCATTCATATATAATTTGTCAACTACACATTTCAATAATCTACATCGTCAACATTGTACCGAAGGAAAAAAAGAGGCAGAGAGGAATGAAGTAACATGCCTAAAAAGGGAAGCAATTTCACAATCAGGAATGAAATCTAGATGCCAAGCTTGGCTTTTCAGACCAGAGCCAAGGAAAAGTCACATTTGTGTACAACAGCTGGAAGCACAGAGAGGGTTATTAGCAGATGGGAGAATAATAGAATGCACTATCACCTGTACCTGTGCTCCGTGCCTAGGAGTCAGAGGGACCCGGGCACAGTCCTTGAGATTTCTGAAACAATGTCTAGATGACCCTCCTTTCAAAGTAAATGCCATTTGTTAATGCCACCTGGTTTTGGTGCAACTTCAGATTAAAAACCAAAGGGATCAATTTAACGTCCCATATTCTGCCTCTTCCCCTTTCCCACCTCCACACATATCCAACTCTCTCCCCAGGGAAAGGTCCCAGAAATGTATTTCAGGGAAAGCTTTCTGGGCATGATCCTTTTCAGCCTCTCCAGGCTGGATATACCCCAGATATAGATGGCAAAGCTCTGATACTGGAATTAGCTTTAAGAGATGTCTGTCTCATCATGATTCAGCCGGTTCGTTTCCACTCCTTATGATACCTTGTAGTTGCCTGGGTCGTAAGTAAGCGCGTTTCCAAGGTGTTCAAAAGCCTTCTGATAATCCCCAAGCTGGGAAAAGAAGTAAACAAGCATCAGAAATTCAGGAATAAGGGGGGGGGGGTTAAGAAGGTCAACACATGCTTTTTGGGCACTACAATTTCTGGCTCAGTCAAATATTCAGAAAAGTGAATTTTACAGTGTTCCCATTACACACACATATTCTTGTTTGATAATTTATAAAACAGGTTCTAAAAATTTATTTTGCTGGGCTGGATTCACTGTTCTGACCAAAACAAAGGTTTCCATATAGTTAGTGCTCTGACTTTTCTACACAGGAGTGAGCTCTGGATTGACAGTCCTCTGCTCCTTCCTGTCTTCCAGAAAAGAGGCTACAAATTGCTACTCTGCACATCCTTGATTCCCTCACCACAACTTCTTCACTCCCCAGGGCACTCTTTTCACATGGGAAAGTCTTTCCTTGTCTTCTAATAGCCTGCATGTGTCAGGGGCCATGACTGTGTCCATATATAAGCACATGACTGCTTAGAATCACTTAAATCCCATCATTTTCAATTGAGCTGTGCCAGAATTGTACCAGTTCTAACAGGATGAAATTCTGGATACTGGTGTCCTCTTTTGATCACAAAAACTGATGAGAAGCCCATCTGTCACTTTGGCAAGTATACTGATGAATCAGAGCCCAGCACCTTCTGTAATTAATAGCAAGTGGGAAAGCTGCAGAAGCATCTTTTAAACTCCTGAAGGTGAGTACGTATCCAGAGACATGATAAACTGAACAAATGAATCACAGGACAGAGACCCAGGGGCTAAACTCACAAGGTGAATGTTATACTCACACTACTTCTGTCTTACAGATCCCCCCTCCCACATCAAACTCCCTTCTAAATCCACACACCCACTTAAGACGTCCAAGGGTCCTATTGAATTTCCCTACCTCTACAGCAGGGCAATTTTTTTCAAGATCTACATTTTATTCCCAAGCATCTAAACGATTAGGGAAATGCTTCAGGATCCTTCCAAACTGGCACTTGGTGCAAGTTTTCTAGCCCACCAATCCTTTCAGGAACTACTGCTTATTCTTCTTTGCTTGCTCACTCTTTGGGAAGCTTATTTTTTAAATAATCAGACAGTCCTTCCCATACATTTTAAAGTCATATTTAAAGATAAGCGTGTCTTTGTTATTTTAATTGATTCCGATTTTCTTCTATGGTGCATTAACACTAACAATTTCATGGCTGCTTTTGTAGGAGAATAACTTGCTAGACTCCTGCTGCAGAAACAAGGTAATAACTAGTCATGTTTTGTTATACTTGGAGGATTTATAACAGAATTAGGGCGGCTGCCAAAGAGAACTCCTGCTCTGGCTCAGGTCCAGGAAATCAACTTGCTTTTAGCAGCAAAAGAAAAAAAGAAGATACAGAGAAGCAAGCTCTGTCACGTTAAATGCAGCCTTTAGAGAAACATGTGCAAGTCACAGGAAGGTGGATAGAAATTAACTCTAAAAAAAAAAAAATCTTGATCATGTTGAAAATAATTAAGTACATGTCATAGCTAACAGTCTTCAGTACCTGCAAATAAAGTAACCCCAGTGTTGTAAGGAGGTCTGTGTTTTCTGGAGAAAACCTGTAATATAAAAGCCAGAGAGCTGTATTTCTTATTTGCACTTCTAAAACAAAGTAAAAACAGAACATGGAATTATGATGCTACATTTTACTAGTATCACTCTAGGAAATTAATTGTTCTTAGTTGGCTCTAGGAAATAAACTAGCAAATACTAGAACTGCCATCACAGGGACTTTCTTTGAACAATATTACACCTAAGCTTTCAAAATGTCTTCCAGATAAAATGGGAAGTCAGCATAGCTCTGTGAATAGATCTGGATGCATAATAAGATAATGTGGTTTTGTTAAGCTTCAAAGTGAGTCTGCATCAGTGACCTGGAAATACAGAATGGGATTTTCCATCATCTCCCATAAACCACCCTGTAAATCCATCCCAAGCCTCTTGGGCCATGTAGGACAGGCAATCCCCAGCATTTCTGATGGATCCTACACACACTTATCATCAGACTTTTAATTCACCCTATGAAAAGATTACAAACCTAGTTTCACAGACCAGCTGTGGACTGCTCACCATGGCTTTGTGCCACACTGCAGCCCACAGATCAGTGTGCTCAGGCAGACACTACCTGTTAATGTATCCCTGGCCATACACCACTCCATGCAGCACAGGGGAACTTGAAAAAATATGTCCCAAGGGCTTTCAAGTTTCTCCATTCAGCACAGAGGAACTTGAAAAAATATGTCTCAAGGGCTTTCAACTATTGTATGCGACTCCCAATCCCTCACTGCTAGTATGAGGTCCACACAGTAATGTTATGAACCTTTTTAAAAGCATTCCAATTCCCAGCAGCTTTTGAAGACATAAATAGGATTAAAACAACAACAAAAAAGAAAAAGCAGAGATACTGCATTTGTGGCCTCACTCACCTTAGCAGAAGTAAATTTTCAATTCCCTGCTATCAAGACTTGAGAAATCTACTATGTACGCTCACACTGGCACCTTTAAACCTCAGCCAGATCAAAACCACCTGTGCCTGATGGTATATAAACACAGAGCAAGGACAGACTATCCTGGAGCTGGTAACAGCAGGCAAAATGTAATGGGTAGATGAGAACAAAAAACCACAACCAGGAGGGAGGAAGAAGGGAGGGCAGGGGAGCACAGACATTGATATGTAAACCTGGTAAGATGCTTAGCAAAGATTATTTACATAATAAACATTCTAGATTAGTCCAAATGTCTGCCCAACCCAATATACTATCAGACAGCAGCCAAAAGCAAACATGTAAGGAAACAGCATGTGAAAAGAACCAGTACAAAATGCAGATCCTCCAGTGGCTTCCAAAATGCTCTTGCTTTTCTCTGGTGTTTGCCTCCATTACAGAACTACATTTTAAAAGCACTGGTAAATCAGGAATGCCCTAAAACAAGATAGTTCAGTACTGAGAAACAGTGACAGGGTGGGAGAAACTCACTGTGCACCAACCCATCTCTGGTCTGCCTACTCACATGCTTTCAAACACAAATCACTCCAAGTGAAAACAGTATGTGAAACCCAGCAACTGATTTTTGACAGATGATCAGGGTTAGAGAGACACCCGGGGTTAGATCTTTTTGGTAGATAAACCTTTGGGATTTATGAAGTCAGCTTTGGATAGGTTTGCTCACAGGCATCTCTGTCCATTTGTTTTTCCACTTTTTTTGGCAGACCTTCAAACATCTACCTTCTTCCCCGACACAGTGTCAGCAGGAGGAGGACTGCAACTGAGAGCAGAGACAGCTGAAGAGCTTGAAAGTGCCAGCTTTGCACAGAGACACTATAATTACCATTAGCTTTTTAATCATGTCCTCAATTCAGATCTGGGACACCAATCAAATTGCTCCTGGCAGAGAATGGGACATGGACAGATAGATAAAAGGATATATTCTTACTCTACGGCTTTCTTATAGATTTCAATGGCTTTATCCGTCTCCCCCTCCAATAGGTGAATTTTCCCCAGCATCATGTAAGTCAGATCATGTCTGTTGAGCTCCAGGGCATTGTTTAGCTGGTCTCGTGCCTAAACACACAACCACAGAGGATTTAAAAAAAAAAAAAAAAAGTGATTACAGAGACCTCAGTGAAGCAATAGCCCAAAAGCAATCCCCAGCAGCTGGTGAAAGAGAACAGTCTACACACCCTTAGCTCAGAACCCTGCTAGCAAAACCCAGCCCAGTTAATTGTTGAAACAAGTCCTGCATCAGGAGCCACATGTTTTTAGGGACAGAAAAAGGCAACGCAGCATGCTTCAAGCCAAGACAAGAGGCAATGACCTCCCAAGGAGAAGAGCATGGGCCTGTTGCTGTAGTTGAATTCATTTGGTTTGAGGGAATCTCCAGATTTGTTAGGTTAGCTGGGACATGACAGTTTATTCTTCACTAAAATGCTTATTCCAGCAATGAGCATGGATTGACAAGTAAACAAGGGGAGTGTATCAGTTCTTGTCAGGTACACACCGATCCCCTCCAACAGGGGGATCTCAACACTTTGAAGCACCGTCTTCCTCTTACCTCCTCAGGCCTAGCCAGCAGGACAGCAAAATATGTTTGCTGTCTCGGAACAGGTGATATATTAGAAAGATAAATGCTGACACAGTAGTGGAACTCTGCAATACAGCGTGTTTGTTACCAGCAACTACTGAAGAGACAGTCGTCCCCAAAGGCTTCATTATATTGTAGATGTCCTCATAGAAGTTTTGTTGCCCAGGGTGACCGGTACATCTCAGATGAGATGTCAGCAGGTCCCAGTTTGGAAAGTGTTAGTGCAGACAACAAATCCCAAGTATGAACCTGTATTCCAGAGTTTCTTGCTCTACAGTGATGCCTCAAACAGAGAAGGCAGCAGGGGTTTGCTGCAAGGGGCACAGCACTCCACCAGAAAGAGCGGCAGACAGGAGTTGGGCCAAATTAGGAACAAAAGGTTTCTAAATGCTGTTTTTTCCCTTACAAAGTAATTCCTGATCCCCACAGGATCAGAGATAGCTCAGAGCTCACCACGACCACCTAGGGGAGGGCTAAGAAGAGAGGAGCTGGGAATGGTGTGCTCAGACCTGGGAAAAAAACTCCGTTTCAAGCTTCCAGTAAGTTCTTTACTAGGTACAGAGCTAATAAAGTTAGTGCTGGCCACACTGCAGCTATGCTCGTTTGGGACTTTTGATCCAGGCTTGGTGCAAAAGGAGCTTCAGACACAGGAGTAAATCCTTTCCATAGAAGTAAAAAGGTTTCTGCTGCACCTCCAGGAAACCAACCCCATAACTGTTCTGTCTGAATCCTGCCAGACCCAAGGGGCAACAAGTTTTCTTCAGAAACTCTCTGCACGAGGTGCAGCAGTTTGAGCTGTATGCTAGGGAAATAGTTTGGGTCTTTACCATAACACTTCTCTTTCTTCAAGAAGATGGAACTGGCATGCTCTATGGATTGCTGCTCCTCACAAACCAGCAGTATTTATGGTCCTGGTTTTAAAAGACTGGGAAACAGAAGCAGCTCTTGTTGGAGCACAGCTGCTTTTCTGTCTAGTTTGAGGTAGCTCTCTGAGGTTTCTCAAACATTCCCTTTAAAACCAGAAATGCTTTCTGAAAAATCCTAGTTCAGAAAAAGCTTCCTGACCTGCAACAAGGCTAACCTCCATTTCACTCTTACCCAACTTCACTAACTTGCAGCTGACTCAAAGTAATTCAATATGCAAATGAAAACAGACACAGCTCACAGACTTTTTCTCCCTGAAACAAATGCTGAAGCAAAAAACTTCCTTGATACCTATCACTGCAAACGATCCACTTCCAACTACCAAAGAAAGTGAAATTTCTGTGAACTCTGCTTCCCGTTTGTCAGGTAGATAAGACAAGTATTTGCATTACCTTGTTGAAGTGTTTCAGGTACATGTAGCACACGCCCAGGTTGTGGCTGATCTCCTGTAGGGAAAAAACCAAACCACTAACAAAACCAAACCAGCATGAAGTATGAAATACACACTACATAATCTACCAGTGATAACAGTCACTACTGACCTGGATGGGAAGACCCTTGTGCCTGCCCACACCCTTCTTGCTTTGTAGATCAAGTAAACCTACAAATTCCCAATACTTCAGGAACCTACAGAACTTAAGTTTGATTATACACACAAGACTACAGGCCACCGAGACAAAAACCACAGAAATTACAATGGTCTTCTCAGAGAACAAGGAGCAGACTAACTTCATCACTGAAATGTGACTCAGTTCCCCACAATATCTCTGAAGGTAGTAAGGTGCCCTTATGGGTGGCTCTCAATCTAGCTCTACAGTCATTAGGATATGCACAACACTGCACCCAGCTGGACAAAATTTGAAGATGTGCCTGATTTCCCAAAACAGAAGTCAAGCACCAGAAGGGCTGATATCCCTCTATCATCTTAAACAATTTTGCAACAGAGTAGGAAGATCACTTAGGGATCCTAAACACTCTGGTGACACTGTAGGGAACAATCATGCCTCTAATTCATCACCAACAGCTTAACAGACAAGCTACTTGCTACCTTCCTCACCCTGGCACATCTTGGGGAGCTGAAAAACAAGATCCACCAGTTCCTCATTTCTATTCTGGTGAGCATTTCACTGCTTCATCAGTTTAGACAGCCTTGACCTTTAAAAGGAAACTCTCTTATCTCCCCATTAACCCTCTTAGAAAGATATTTTCTTCCACACAGTCTCTCCAGCTGTGGAGAACAGTAATGAATCAGTAACTCGCGGTTACTGCAGCTTGCAGAACGAGGCAGTGCAAGGGAAGAGCACAGGCTGGCTCTACTTCTAGTTCTGAGCCAGGTATGTGAAATAACTAATCAAAATACCCACTGAAGTTTGCCTGCTGTGGTTGTAAATAGGGTTACAGGCATGCCAACCACATATTGCATGTAGCTTGGTTAGCTAAGAGAATGCAGACTTGAAAGAATACCCACAGTATAAAAGGTTTCTGAGTTGTCTGGGACAGGATAAGTTGAGTAATATCAAACATATTCTTGTATCAAGCCTGAATTTTAGACATACTGAGTGTCAAAAGTATGGCTAAAGGCAGTGAGTGCCTGATGTCTTAGGGAATGAGATGACATGTAGCAAGTCTATCTTAGAAACAACACTTCCGCAGGTAGAAGAGTCACTGGCAGAAGGCTGCCCACAACTAATTGCAAGCCAAGTCCTCTCTCCTCTCACCCACTGTCACACGTTTCCCTTTGCAACACTCTTCCTTCGCTTTTTGACGTCTTATATAGAAGAGCTAATTTAATTATTGCTCCTGTAGCTATCAGCCTACGTTTGTAGGTAACAAGTAACCCTCTCAGCCAGTTTGAGGGTAATCTTTTTCAATGGTGTTTTGCATTAGAAAAGGTTTCCCAAGTACTCAAGCAAGTTTTAATGTAGCTAGGGTTTCCAAACAGGTAGCTATTTCCCATACTTTCCTTAATGTACATATGTTAATAGCGATACTTTGCAAAGCTCAAACATGTTGCTCGATTCTTTGTGCCCCAAGACAAGGTGTGGGATTTTGCACACAGAAATGATGCCTAGCTCCTCTGATGCAAACCAGACGCTGCACAGGCTCATCCGTGCTTGTGAGCCTGTGCTAAAAGGCAATGCCTCTCAGCCCTGCAGCTCCTCAGCTGCTCAGACTGCAGGCAGCATGAGCTCACCTCTGCTTGGAACAAGTTTCCAGCTGTCTTCATAAAACTGCAGAAACATCTGCATACTACAATAATCTGCAACTCACTGAAACACTTACCCAGTCTTTTTCATCAAGTTTAGCCGCTTCATTGTACACTTCAATGGCTGCCTTGTGCTTCCCCAAAAGAAACCTGCGAAAGCATTTCAATTTAAATTTTTTCTTGCTTTGAAACCCTACTGTGAAACCACTATCACCTTTGCCAGTGAGAAATGATGCTACTTGGTAGTTCAGAGACCTGCATGAGCAGCCCTGAGAAGTTTACAATCTCAGCAATATTAGAATTTGAGCACTGCTCCCTTTCAGGGCCAAGGACATCAATGCTGCGAGATGCTGAGGCACTCCCTGACGTTACTGGAGATGCACGGAATGAATTCACAGGCTCTGCAGTCTGCCTTTATCTCAGAGGAAAAAGACAGGTGATCTAACCAGACATTCAGAGACAGAAAGGGGTCTGCAGGGCACGTTTACACAGCTCTGGTCAGCACCCTTAGCTCTGGATTTAGAAATCAGTATGTTACCTCTCTTGCTTAAAGCACACACACACACACACACACACACACACACACAAAAGAAAATACAATAGCAGCCAGGCAGATAACAGAGATTCTGCTTTCCAGGGTAACCCATGCTTCTGGAAGCCAACTCAAGTGTTGATAAGGAGGAAGCATGTTTGGAATTAAGCAGCCTAGGATTTCAATTGATGCCTGGGAGAAAAACAAAACATGGAAGGTCCTGGGTGGCACATTAAAGAGAAACAATAAAACACCACTCACAGAGATCGTGCCACCTGCTTGAGGTTGTCAGCGCTTCGAGGGTTCAGAATAGAACATGTCTGAAAAAGTTCAAGAGATTCTTGAATTTTCCCCTCCAAGCGAAATATCAGAGCTGTAAAACAAAATATACCAGGCAAATTAGTCCATTATCTGCAGGGAAAATGTGCCTCTCTGACAGCAGGGAAAGAAGGGGGCGCATAGTAACATAGCTCATGTGGTCTCCCGCTCCTGCAGCAACCTCAGGCAGAAACCGTGTCTGAGGGCAGAATGACAACGCATGCAAAGGACTCGTGCATGCCTAGAAAAGTTTCTGGTTTTCAGAACAAAGGCAGCTTTAAACCCTGGCCAATTGCTCGTTAAGATGCAGTCTGGATTTCTCCTCTCCTCAACAGGCTGCAGTATGTCCTTGGCTAACAAATTTCAGCTGACCCCCACCACAGCACTTTGAATTGTAACACCAAGTTTTGGGGCACATTTTTTAGGGGACAGAAGGAAAAACAGGAAGAGGAATACCATCCTTAAAGCAAACAGTAAGACAACAATCACCTGAGGCAGGTAACTGTAACAGAAAACATGCATCTGTAATACAATCAAACACAGGACCCAAGCACACACCAACACATGGAAGGCCAAGAGCCCATTGGCCAAGGAGGATTGATGACAGACTCATTGATACGGAGAAAACAGAAAATCTAATCCACCCATTTCATGTGAAAATCCCAAACTTCAAAACTAGACCCAACAAGCAGAAAAAAGAGCTAAATATTTTTTACATATGAATTTTATATGCTTCTATCACCTGTTACCCTTCTTACTGTTTACTGTATCTCACATCAGAAGTAACTTGCTTTAGAAAAATTAAGACTTTTGGAGGCCTCCTGAAACATACCTTGAACATAAACTGCATATTCGCACAGCCCTTGAGACTCCTGGAGCTGCTCTTTGATGACTGCCTGAAATGACAAAGAGCAGAGAGTACACATCAAACGCAGTCACCCCCATCAAAAAGCCTATCACCTGGCTCACTATTACCCCCTTACTAAACTGCAGCATGGCAGCTTTCAGAAGAATATAAACCCTTCAAATCTTTCAATTAAAGCAATCTCTATAAAAGAAAATTGATTTCTGACCGATCAAATACATTCTGCAACCTTGATTTGGAGAATTTTTTGTATGTACTACATATAGCTGTGCTTTATCTGTGCTATTGCGGAACGCCCTAAAACAACGTGAATTTAAACATCGTGCAACATGTTGATGGACACAGTTCTTATATGATGATAACAGTGACATCACACAAGACATGAGAACTACAGAATTCATTTAATCAGAAGTTGTGCTTGGAAAAGTCAATATTAATACAAAATCTGTAGCTAGATGCTGCAATATACTATATAAAATCCTATAAAAGTTGTAAACTTCCATCATTTTAACATAGCTAATGACAGAGAGTTGGTTTCAGTTACAGAAACCACGACCTCATGTATAACAAAGGCACTGGACTGAGGCTGGAACAATGATGAGCGCACAGAAGAGTGCAAGCTCGTCACCATGTGTGAAGAGTATTGTTCCAGGAATACTGTAGCCCTTTTAGTACTTCTCTGTTCATTCCTATTACCAAAGATAATTAGATATTACCTAGGGAAAATGCCACAAGGAATCTCTGAAAGCATCCTCTGCTGATAAGGGTATCTACTCTAGGCCATTTGTGAAGAAATAAATTGAATTGGAGCAACTGCACCTGAATCAATGAAAGCCAAATGAACAAATGATGACTACATGGGAAAAGGAAGGGGAAAAAAAACTGATGAAAATTTAAATGATTGCTGGCTACATTGGTACAGCTGACAGTTCGGGGTGCGGGTGCAGTCTGGCTATATTCCATAATTATATGTGATCCAAAATTATAAAACTGGTCAAAAGAATGACCTTTGGGAGGATGAGCACTTGGCTATGAACCAAGAGCATCATTTCTGCTCTGAGACTCCTCTTTTGCTCGGAAATGGAAGACACAAAGCAAAGATTTCTGGCTAGCAATAACCTGGTGCTTATCTGGCACTTCTGTCCAGTGTATGAGCAGTACCAGCATCTCCTGCCTCTGAGACAAATATAAGTGAAGGCCCTGAAAACAAGGAAGAGAACTGAACCTCAGATACAGCACACAGAAGGAAAGTGGAATGAAGGAAAGGAGGGTTATTATTAAGAATCCTCGCTCAGAAAAGAAAACTAAAAAAAGGAAGGAAAAGGAAGAAAAAGTCTAGGCTGCTCTTCCCTTCATCTGTATCTGCTATTATCTCTGTATTTTACTCTTTACAAAGTACATTATTACAGGACATTCAACTCTGAGATAACCAAGGATCTGAATACAGATACTCTATGTTGCTCCACCTACATAAAACCAGTTCCTTAGAGCAAGAGAGGGCAATAGAGAGCTATCTTGCAGAGAGATCTGATTAATTCTATAAACCCTAAAAAAATCCCATAGCAAAAGGCCTTGAGAAATACGATCTGTAATCCCAGTTTTTCCTCACAAGTTTATTTAACTCGCCGACAGAATTTAGACATACTGGCAGGAGACCAACCAGCATGAGCTATTTTAATTAATTAAAAGCATCTGGTAATTTTAATAATTCCTTCCTCACACATAACAGAAGCAGAAGATTTCTGTTGTGAAAAACGGTTAGGGGGCAGGGCTGGAGTTGATGCTGCAAGCAGAAAACAGTTTATTAGCTTTGCATGTGAAGGGCGAGAGCTGAGTGCTGATTGCTGCTTAGCAGGGCCTGTCCCTCCTCTCCCCCCACTTCTCTCTGCCCCTGCGATCGCAGGGGATGGTGCAGCCGCAGGCTCTGGGGGATGTCTGCCTTGCATCTTGCTGGGTAGGAAAGGAGAATCAAACAGCCATCATTATTAATCTCTCCTGTAATGAGCAGCAAAAATTGTCAAGAGCTTGGCAACACCAAAATAGACGCAGGAGTGGCACTGTAAGGGTTAAAATCAATTTAATGCCTTCACTTTGGAGAGCCAGTGTTGGTAAACAAACAGTTTTTTCTTGGCCTTTTAAGTCATTGAAAAATATGGGAGTTTTTAAAACTGTGTTAAAGAGGAAGCATTTCAAAGCACTGAGTGGGAAACAGGGTCTAGCAAGTTTCAGACCAAAACTACTAGCATCACAGGTCACTTATTTCTCACCTGAGTCTCAAAATTAATGGGCTTTAACAAATGCCCAAACTATATTGAAATCAAGGAGTTAACAGCCATTGAAGCCACTGGAGATACTGTCAATGCCTCTTTCTTTTTTGAAGGTATTGGCCCCAAATAGGATGTTTGGGAATGTCTATGCTTACCATAGTACCTGGAGCATCCAGGTTAGATCTGTAACCTCACCTAAACCAGCCGCGAGACAGGCAGCTGGCCCCGCCTAAGATCTGAATTGCCTTTTGGACATGCCTATCGCTCCTCAGCGACCAATGGAGCATCCCAGCATGCTGAGGTTCTTATCTTCCTGGGGCAAACCCAGGCCTCAGAGCACACATCCATCACACCTGGGTGAAAGGATGGAAGATCATTTAACCTACTGTGGTCTGGTGCCGAACTCTTCCAACTTTACTGCAAAAACCCTGCTTTGTGAGCCCTGAGGAAAGGCTTTGCTACTGCAAAGCTGGCCTGCCAAGCAAAAGAGTATTAGCTGCCTTCTCCTGATTTTTTTCCCCATAATTCCATGACTGATGAAGACATTGAGGAGTCAATGTTGCAATTATATCACCCACTTGGCTATTTTTTCTGCTTTCCTGAGCCATACATGTTTTCTGCATTCTGTGATTTCACATCACATCACAGAAACAGTAAATGTATGCAATCAGAAACCAAAAAAATGCAGTCAGATCAACAAAAAAGGGAAACAATTTTCTATTTAAATAACTAGTCCAACTTTTGTTTATTTAAACCAAGATCTGAGAGGAAATTGCTCTTCTGATGATACAACCCTCCAGCTCTGTTAATTAAGAGATAATTAATTTCCTCCAGCCTGCCCCTTTCCTAAGCGCCCCCAGGAGCTCTACAGCAGAGAGACAAGTCCTGACCAAGCCTGGTGTTCCAGAAGCGAAAGTGTCTTTTCAGATCTTCTTTGTCCGTGACAGAAACAGGCAACTCTTATTCCACTCCTCCTGCACACTGGCACATCATCTTCAACAGTTTGTGTTTATTTTATCAGCAAAATGCACTGTTTAATAATAATTTGTTATTCCTTAGTTCACTTACCATAATAATCACAAACAAACAACTACTTCCAAGCTACCCACCAAACCAAGGAGAAATTAAAGGGTGCAATGTATCATGTGTAAAACGAAAGAATTTTGTTCAAAGGTAACCTAGATTTTTTTTTTTCAGATTTGGTCGTAATGTTTTATTCAACTGAAGTTTTTTTCACAGTTTCTCTGTAGTACCATCGAGAGACCTGAACTATGGAACTGCATTATTATCAGTTTGGAAGACCCTATTCATCACTTGGAACAAGAGAGGTTTGCAGTTCTTTCAATTTTTCCACTCCCAAAGACATACTGAGCTCACAGACTACTCCAGAGAACTGCATACATGGATCCTGAAGGTAGCCAAGGATTTGAGAACATTATTTTACTTGTATCTTCTCTTGGTCTCCTTATTCCAAACGAAGTGAGGAAAGAGGGTTGTTTGGAAAGGGGTATGAAAATTATTATTTCATAATGTCAGTAAAATACTTTCTAATGCAAAGTCCCAAAAGCAGCTCTTACCTTACATTCGTCGTAGTCTCTGCGAACATAAAGGAGATAGATCAACCAGTTTTTCCTCTCTAGGATTGGTAACTCTGGTGCTGTAAATGTAAAATATTAACAAAATACAGGAAATCAGACTGATCAACAGAGAACCTGGCCACAGTGTGAGAGCTATTCTGAACCACCCGATCTGCAAACACAATACAACTAATTCAAGAACTGCAATTGCACCAGGTGGTGCAATTAATCATTTGACTTGAAACCTGGAGCGTGGACATATGAACAGTGTCCACTTTTATTTTACTTCTCAAATTGATAGATAAAAGGCATTGTACAAGATAGACACTAAACACAACCTCTTAGGAGAAAACTATCACCTCAAAAGGCTTCTGGTGCTGCTACTGGAACAAACAGCTCCAAGCACCAACTACACACACATTTTAATTCAACATTAATGCTGATTTGGTGGAATTGGTTCTTCCAAATATGCATGAAGCATCTTGGAGGAAATTAGTTGGATTCGCATTTTGGAACTAGGGCAGAAGAATCAAAGGCCTTTAAAATAAATTTCTGGGAGTGAATGAGAAGGAAACAGGCGATACACACAAAAGGAGATTTTGGAGATGTTGCCTATCTGAAGGTATGAATAATTTAAAGAGGTCAAACTTAGTTCTTTGAAACTGTGAAGGGACTATGAAACATCACAAGTCTCAGAAAACTGTGAAGCTACTGGCAGAAAAAAGTATTTGATGCAGCAGAGGAGAAAGACTTGTGCTCCAGCATTTCAATCGTAAGGAGCTTGCAGCAGTAATTATGGCAAATCACGAATGGATGTTGCTTAGTGATATTCATGTTGGGTTTAAAAGTTTAACACACTGCTGTGCATTTCATTAAGGCTTGAAATGTATTGCTTGTTACTCGTTTCTACAGTTCAGATGGGGGAGCTGAGAGGTAACCATAGCAACTGGCAAAAAAGCTGTCTGTTTGCAAGTCAATATTATGACAGAAGTGCAGAAGCAAATCAAGGCAAGGACTGTCGCCGGAGCTGGGGCAATGGCGAGGGCGATCCAACACCAGGCCACCTTCCCCCAGCCCCGCGGAGCATGGCACGGACCCACACCACTGCTGGAGATCCAGGCTCAAGCTTCCAGCACTCAGAGCAGAAGGCATTCTTTGAAGTGGTCTGCAGTTCCCCCTGCCAGCCGGCAACATGGGTCGTGATCAGATGTAAGAAAGAAGAAACTCTGCAGCCGGAAGGACTGAATCATGTCAGGAAACGTTATTGGTGCAAAGTGTTATTATCTCCTAGAATTTAATCACGCAGGGGCTGCACCTGCGGCTAGTAGCAAACACATCTCGCAAGCATACCAGGCTCTCCCCCACAATTCACACCAAGTCTAGTATCACTGAGAGCACTTAAAACCAAGTAGAATTTCTTCAGCTCTTGAAGGTGGAAAAAATTTTGTAAAGCCATTCTGGTTTTGTTGTTGGGCTTTTTTCAGATTTTCCAGAATATTCAGCCAGATTTATACTAGAGCTGAGATCTAAGTGTGCACACCAGCAATTTATAGTCAAATACCTTATAAAGAAGGCTCAACTACCCTAAAAACAAATAGAAAAAAATCACAGTCCAAACAAAAAAGTAATCTAAATAAGCTAAGCTTAACAGAAATGCACAGATCAGGGATCCAAATGTTCAGAAATTGTACTCTGCTGTGTAATACCTGGATCTTTGTAAGCAAGGCCTTTTAATATGTGTGTTCCCAGATCAGATTGATTTCTGATTACTTCATGTTTTGCATTCATCCTTCTTACAGTGAAACCATGAAGGGAAGACTTTAGAGGCTGCCTAAATAGGTACAAATTGATTGAAAAAACGCTATTTCATAAACAGTCTGGAGGGCTGCTGGTCTGAAGCCTGCTGAGGGGCTACCTAATTCATTAATAGATTTGTAATGACTTCCTAGTGTAAGTTATTAATGGTGCCAGAGTTTGACAGGACTTTCTTTTCCAAGAAACATAGCACTTGGGGATGCTAGAAATGCGCTGCAGAAAGCTGCCAGACTTGCATGCTCTTCCTGCAATAGTATCTCCTGGTGCCATTATCCGATACAAAATACAGACCCAGACACATGTCTGATACACCCAGGCACTTCTTACCTTCTTTCATAGGCATGGATTTAAGAGCAGACATTGCAAACTTTATTTAACCATAAAAATTTCAATTATGGTCAAAACTCAAGTATACTTTGCCATTTTGTGACTACTAATACAGCTCAAAATTACAAAATCCTGCATTATTATATACAATGAAAACTGCCTTAAATAGAGATTAATCAGAAGACACTTCAGATGCACCCCACCTGGTCTCTCCTACCATCTGCAGCGGGAGGTTAAAAAGAAATAGTCCTATTAAATGTTAAAGCTAGCTGGCTAGGGTGTGTTACCAGCTGAGATGGGAAAGGCTAAATTATGTTAGAGCCTACACAAATGTTTTGGGCTAAGCTAAGAAGACAGTGAGCGGATGGGAGATCAGTTGTTTTAATTCCTAAAGGAAAAAGCTTTTTCACACTTTTAAGACCAGAGGGACATTATACTCCACTCCCACGCTATGGAAACGCCTGCTGAGAACAGGGTTGGGAAGGAAGAAATGCTGAACATCAGAGTGAGTGCTGAGCAGAGAATCAGGCTGCAAAAGAAAAGGGTAAAACAGACACCACCTGCCTTCTGGGTCCAAGACTGCAAAAACCCAGAGGAGTTACCTAAAAGAGCTGAGCTGGAGAGAAAACGGAGAAATCAAAACACACCATGAGACACAGAAGTGAACAGCGTTCACATCTGCTGAGATAAAACAGTTTTGCTTCCCTCAGTGATACACTGAGCTAAGGGTAACTATGGAATTGGGAAAACACATGAAGTTTTTACACTCCTAAAACTCATTTGGAAATAGCAACAAATATGACTGAGGGGACATTGCTCTACTTTTTTCTTTTCTTTTTCCCTAAGACAAGCAAACTGGAAAAAAAGCAAACAATTCTGATTATCTTTCAAAAAGATGACTAGATTAATTCATAGATATAAGTGAATCTTACATCTGAATACAAAAGTTTCATAGAAGAAAGCTGATGCACTAAGTCTACTCCAGAAAGTAAATGTGAACAGTTTGATCCCTTCTCTGAAGAAATCCAACATAAACACCATGAACCAGATCTGGTGTGGATCCCACAGAGGACTAAGAAGAGAGGAAGGATATAGAAGTTGTGAGAAAATTAATAAATTTGACATAGGAACATGTCTGATCCCCCAGAAAGGGCTGTGGGAAGTAAAGGATTAGTACCAGAGTCTATATTCAGATTCAGAAAGAAGTAATGCAAAATATTTATATACATCTCTCCAGAGCCACAACCATCTTAATCTGCATTTCTGTTTTTCCACAAAAATGGTGAGATACCTACTTCTGGTGCATTCATCTCCCTCAGGTTTGTTTCCCCATCCTGCTGCTAAAGGCTACCCCAGTGCAAAGGGTCACTGCATTTTTCTGAAGGAAAATACAAATCCCTGGCTATTTGGGACTCTAGCTCCAGAGAAAGAGAAGAAAACATTCTGTGCCTTTCTGAAAGGACACAATTCAATCATTGCTGTTTCTAACCATGTATTTTTTCCAAGTTTAATAATTACCTGCAGAATACCTTAAAAAACCCCACACACAGATGATGTGTGTTGCTCAGCTCTTGCTGCATTGGCCTGAAGAGTGATGTATGGCTGGATCTGGCCTTGGGGGCTGCTATGAGGGGCAGAAGAACAGAAAGAAGCACCGGCAGCACACCACAGTCTTCTCAAGTACAAGGATGATTGGGAACACTGGAGGCTCCATATGGCATATGATGGTTTGCAATCTCACACTAATTAGAGCTGGGAACACATACTGCCGCAACCAGTCACTCAGAAGGTTTCTGCACAGAGAAAGGCTGCTGAATTTGGCCTTGCCAGGAGAAGCTGAGCACATTCATCAAGTTCCTCAGGCTGTCTACATTGCAATTTTCCACCTTCTTCAATATATGGACCTTCAGAAGTTTCTCATATGTAACTGCTGTGGATCATATGAAAACACGCTTTTCTTTGTCACCTTTCGCAGAACCCTTGCAAAAATCCAGTCACTGCACAGGGATGCAGGGACTACAGGTTAGACAATAGCAGTTTATACCATTCTAGCAATGAAAAAAAAAAGCGCCATTATTTTCTGTAAATCAATCTGCTCAAGGGCCAGTCCAAGAAAATGCAATTATCCAAAACCTTGGTATCTACAGTGAAGAGTTTATAACTTGCGTAATTATCTTTTGGCCTTTCTTTTCTGGGATTACAAAAGTCTAGTCTCATTAAGCAACTGTGACAGGGAGCCAAGCACCAAATATATGATTAAATACCTCAGCCAAGAGACATGCTAGTTTCTTTGAAGTGTGTTTTGATTGAATTCAAAAGGGAATCCATCTGATCCCCCACTTTCTCGGTGGCCAGTGATTGATTGCACAACCCACTTCTGGCAATGTGATTTTTCTTTCTGACAATGCTCCTTTAAGGAAGCCACTGGAGTGGAAACCCCGACAGAATCAGAGTAAGATCATCAGGTTTGTATCTGTGCTGCACTATCATCACTCTTTGCTTTATTCATCCTCTTATAGATTTTCCTCAAAGGACTGGGAAAAAAAAAATAGTATCAGAGTTACTCCCTTTTGTGTAAAACTCCCTAGGAAATTATTTTGTGCTTGCATGTTCATATTGGGTAATTATAGCTTAGATACGAACTATCAAACAGTGGGATTTAGATTTAATATAAAGGTTTTGAAAATGCTGTAGAGAGGAGGAAAAAAAAAGCCCCAGAAGGCCCCTATCAGATTTCATGGGGGAAACAACTGATAAAGCACCAGCCATCCTTTTAAAGAAATTGCTAGGTGCAGAGACCACTTCTGTTGTGGGCACAGGCAGAGTAAAGTGGATTTCTACGTAACTGCACAACTGTAGCCATAAGGCAGCTTTTCACCTTATTTTCTCCAGTGTGCAAACTGTCAGCTGCCTGGAGCACCATAGCACCCTTCCTGTGAA